TGGACATAGGAGATGGAAGTGTTGAGAGTCTCTGGGTTAGGCTAAAAGGAGTAAAAAACAAGGGAGATGTCATGCTAGGAGTCTACTACAGGCCACCTAACCAGGTGGAAGAGGTGGATGAGGCTTTTTTTAAGCAACTAACAAAATCATCCAAAGCCCAAGATTTGGTGGTGATGGGGGACTTCAACTATCCGGATATATGTTGGGAAAATAACAGAGCGGGGCACAGACTATCCAACAAATTCTTGGACTGCATTGCAGACAACTTTTTATTTCAGAAGGTTGAAAAAGCTACTAGGGGGGAAGCTGTTCTAGACTTGATTTTAACAAATAGGTAGGAACTTGTTGAGAATTTGAAAGTAGAAGGCAGCCTGGGTGAAAGTGATCATGAAATCATAGAGTTTGCAATTCTAAGGAAGGGTAGAAGGGAGAACAGCAAAATAGAGACAATGGATTTCAGGAAGGCAGATTTTGGTAAGCTCAGAGAGCTGATAGGTAAGGTCCCACGGGAATCAAGACTGGAGGGAAAAACAACTGAGGAGAGTTGGCAGTTTTTCAAAGGGACACTATTAAGGGCCCAAAAGCAAGCTATTCTGCTGGTTAGGAAAGATAGAAAATGTGGCAAAAGACCACCTTGGCTTAACCACGAGATCTTGCATGATCTAAAAAATAAAAAGGAGTCATATAAAAAATGGAAACTAGGACAGATTACAAAGGATGAATATAGGCAAACAACAGAGGAATGCAGGGGCAAGATTAGAAAGGCAAAGGCACAAAATGAGCTCAAACTAGCTACAGGAATAAAGGGAAACAAGAAGACTTTTTATCAATACATTAGAAGCAAGAGGAAGACCAAAGACAGGGTAGGCCCACTGCTTAGTGAAGAGGGAGAAACAGTAACAGGAAACTTGGAAATGGCAGAGATGCTTAATGACTTCTTTGTTTCGGTCTTCACCGAGAAGTCTGAAGGAATGCCTAACATAGTGAATGCTAATGGGAAGGGGGTAGGTTTAGCAGATAAAATAAAAAAAGAACAAGTTAAAAATCACTTAGAAAAGTTAGATGCCTGCAAGTCACCAGGGCCTGATGAAATGCATCCTAGAATACTCAAGGAGCTAATAGAGGAGGTATCTGAGCCTCTAGCTATTATCTTTGGAAAATCATGGGAGACGGGAGAGATTCCAGAAGACTGGAAAAGGGCAAATATAGTGCCCATCTATAAAAAGGGAAATAAAAACACCCCAGGAAACTACAGACCAGTTAGTTTAACTTTTGTGCCAGGGAAGATAATGGAGCAAGTAATTAAGGAAATCATCTGCAAACACTTGGAAGGTGGTAAGGTGATAGGGAACAGCCAGCATGGATTTGTAAAGAACAAATCATGTCAAACCAATCTGATAGCTTTCTTTGATAGGATAACGAGCCTTGTGGATAAGGGTGAAGCTGTGGATGTGGTATACCTGGACTTTAGTAAGGCATTTTATACGGTCTCGCATGATATTCTTATCGATAAACTAGGCAAATACAATTTAGATGGAGCTACTATAAGGTGGGTGCATAACTGGCTGGATAACCGTACTCAGAGAGTTGTTATTAATGGTTCCCAATCCTGCTGGAAAGGCATAACGAGTGGGGTACCGCAGGGGTCTGTTTTGGAACCGGCTCTGTTCAATATCTTCATTAACGACTTAGATATTGGCATAGAAAGTACGCTTATTAAGTTTGCGGATGATACCAAACTGGGAGGGATTGCAACTGCTTTGGAGGACAGGGTCATAATTCAAAATGATCTGGACAAATTGGAGAAATGGTCTGAGTTAAACAGGATGAAGTTTAACAAAGACAAATGCAAAGTGCTCCACTTAGGAAGAAAAAATCAGTTTCACACATACAGAATGGGAAGAGACTGTCTAGGAAGGAGTACGGCAGAAAGGGATCTAGGGGTTATAGTGGACCACAAGCTAAATATGAGTCAACAGTGTGATGCTGTTGCAAAAAAAGCAAACGTGATTCTGGAATGTATTAACAGGTGTGTTGTGAGCAAGACCCGAGAAGTCATTCTTCCGCTCTACTCTGCTTTGGTTAGGCCTCAGCTGGAGTATTGTGTCCAGTTCTGGGCACCGCATTTCAAAAAAGATGTAGAGAAATTGGAAAGGGTCCAGAGAAGAGCAACAAGAATGATTAAAGGTCTTGAGAACATGACCTATGAAGGAAGGCTGAAAGAATTGGGTTTGTTTAGTTTGGAAAAGAGAAGACTGAGAGGGGACATGATAGCAGTTTTCAGGTATCTAAAAGGGTGTCATAAGGAGGAGGGAGAAAACTTGTTCACCTTAGCCTCTAAGGATAGAACAAGAAGCAATGGGCTTAAAGTGCAGCAAGGGAGGTCTAGGTTGGACATTAGGAAAAAGTTCCTAACTGTCAGGGTGGTTAAACACTGGAATAAATTGCCTAGGGAGGCTGTGGAATCTCCATCTCTGGAGATATTTAAGAGTAGGTTAGATAAATGTCTATCAGGGATGGTCTAGACAGTATTTGGTCCTGCCATGCGGGCAGGGGACTGGACTCGATGACCTCTCGAGGTCCTCGAGTCCTAGAATCTATGAATCTATAAGGCTAAATCACTATAACAGACTTCCAGCCCAAGTGGTCAGCCCTATTTTCAAGGCTGTTCCCCAGCAAAATGGGTTAGAAACCAAGATTATCCTACACATCCTTAAAGCCCCCAAAATTGGGGCATTAGACCCCCAGGTGTCAAGCCTCAAATGTCAGCTCTGCTACCAGCTCATATTACAGAGGAACAGCCATCAGCTGAAGAATTTCTGTCATTTCAAAGCTGAGCCAGATTAAAACAAGTGACCTAGATGTGAAAAGCTCCGTCTCCAATCGCAAGTCCACAGAGACTGGCCAGTCTCCATCTTCCCCTATAAATGTACCAAAGTGCCAACACAGTGCCCCACAGGGGACTAGAGGCCAAACATCACACCGTGTTCAGGGATGCAGTGTTCCTGCTAGAGCAACACTGCCACTCTCTCTGTAGGAGAGAGCTTTCTATCTGGGTCAATGTGCCAGTCGCTGGAGTACCTCAGCATCAGGCTTGCTTTATATACAGGAAAGCAGCCTTTCAAGTGCTATCATCATCTGGGGGTATTGCTAAACCACCCTTGGGAAGGGGTGGCTTATCCCCGACTCATACTGGTGCTTCTGTAGACCCATTATCTCCTCTTTGGAATGCAGCAGATACCAGGGATGTCTAGAAGGCTGAGCCTGAGTCCCCTCACCCATTGCAATGGCTTCACTCACAACATCCCACACACACACACACACACACGCACTTCCACTGGAAGTTATTCATGGTGATACTAAAAATATCAACTTGCAGGAGTCTTCAGTTGCCTGAAAGCACATTATAATCCTGAACTGGTAAAGGCTCCAAAGCAACAATCAGCGAGTCAGCAACATGGTCGAGTTTAGCACAGTTAGAATAAAGCTGGACAGGGAAGAAATATTTCCATTTCTCCCCCCTGAGTTGTATGCATTCTTCTTAATGCTCACTACATAATATTTCCCAATGCACAAAACCCCCAAGAGGAGATCAGCACCACAGCAGCTTGAGCTTGGTTTTAATTGATCTTTTTCATGCTTTAAAAATTGTATATATTACATCTATTTACACAAAGGCAATGAAAATGCACAGGCATCATCGCATACTGTTTGACTTGAAAGGAAGTTGTGGCGTTGATATGAGGTATGTGAGAGACAGGTGAGAGCCATTCATCCTGCTATACTGTACAAATCGGTAAGGACGATACGGAGGGCTGACATGAACCAACCTAAACCAGGAAATGTAGAGTTAAGGACAGTTTTTTCCTTGGCTCACCACATAATCCAGTACACTTGGTATGTAAAAATGGTTTCCTGTACTGATCTGAGATCCTCTAAGACACCAAGGCACAGAAATGAGAGTTATGAATGGAGCAGCAGTCTTACCTCTATGCATTTTATTATGTCGGGCTTTTAGCATTAGAGCAACGAAAGAGTACTTTGTATTTAACGGTCTTTTCCTCCGGCAGAGATTCAGGTGCCCCAAACTTTACAGCACCATGTACACATCAGATGCCTCATATTCCTTGTGTCTGAACCCTACTGAAGCCTCAAAGTATGGAATCAAAAGGATTTCCACCCTCCCTCTCTAGTCTTTTCCCCCGTGAAAACTGGTACCACCTAGGTAGGACTCCATGGGACAATGGAGGCCCTTATTACATATCCCCATTGGTAGAGCCTGGTACCAACCACTGTTCTTCTACCCTCAACACCTGCAGACATGTAGCATTGCCGCTTCCCCTACTCACCTTAGCCAAACATCATTAATGAATCATCCTCCTATACCAAAGTCAGGTACCTCTCTGCTGCTTCCCACTATTGCAGCTCAGAATCATTCACAGAGCCTAGTGCCATTGACCCATCCCCTTACTGGAGCACAATAATACTGCTGCTTCCCTGCACTCAACTAGAGTCCAAAATCTCAAGCATTCCCCCAACCTTGAGCCCATACAACTCTCACTGTGGAATAGTAACCTCTGCTTCTCCAGCCCTGGCTAGAATCCAGTAGAGCTGGTGTGTTTATTGTTTTGACGGCAGTCTGGCATTTTTGCACTCTTCCCAGCACAATAGTGTATGTGGAGACACAGGATCTCATTAATATTAGCAGTCAGGTGTGTCAGTCCTGGTTCTTGTCAGTAGGTAGACAGTTCTCACCAATAAATACTAACTTCCCTCACATCAGGTTTGAAATTTTAACCAAATGATCAATATCATCTTTCTGTGCAAGGTCTTTTGGTGGTCATATGCAGGACAGCATATATTTTATGACCCTGTTGATAGGATCCGGCAAGAGGACTTTCCCCCCCCCACTCCAAAAATATAAATAAATAAATAAATAAATAAATTCTACTTGTCCATCTTAAAAGCTCCAGCTGAATTTTTTGCTGTACAACCTGTGGTTATCCTTGCCCAGCCAAGGCTGTTCATAACTTGTCCCAAAAATACTGCTGCCCACAGGGCTTCTCAGGCTAGAACAAGACTCTCTTCCTGCAGAGACATTTCCGAAGCTGAAGGTACTTGGATTTCTTTTGCATCTTCTCCAGCAGAATTAACACTACATCCTTTTTGTCCTCCAACAACTGCTGCCGCGCCAGGTGAAAGGTAATTCTCAGGATGCCACTCGCAGGCTGGAACTTGGAAAGCACAATAATTATTTTCTTGCTCTTGTGGACTGAATCCCACAAGTTTTCCATCAAGGATCTCCCTGGAATCCAGTCTCTTTCTTCAAGACAAAATTTGAACCGAGCGAGGTCTCTCTCTTCCATTCTGACTTGGAGTTCATTATAGACCCAGTCGGCTGCAGCTTTCTGACCTTTGTTGAAAGCCACAAAGGCATCATATTCCACCTCTTCTGCACTACTTTTCTTCACTGAGCATGCCTGGAAATGTGCCAGGCACAGATAGAAGGTGTACCAGAGGTCCCAGCCAAAGAGGCATTCCATGGTAGGCACAGCCAAGAATGCCAAGGTGAAGAGCACAGAAAACCCAAACAGGCAGAGTGAGACAGAGTCTTCAGAGCAGAAAAGCAGTTCATGGGTGAAGATTCTCTTGCCCTTTAGCTCGCATGGAGAGCCATGGGTGACTTCATTAGTCAGGCTGGGTATTGTTATGTTCATAATGATGATGAATTCAAACAGTAAATCGATGTGCAGCACAGTGGGTTAAATCTGAGGTCCACTTCAATCAGGTTTGGGAGGCACTCTGTGAACTGATTCCTATCAATATTTTGGAGAAAATTGTAGCTTAAGTCCAAAGGAGTTAGCATGGCCACATTGGCAAAGAAGTATTTGCAGATATCGTCTCTCTTGTTTTTGCTCAGAAACAGCTTTCGAAGCTTGGCCTTCCTGGGAATGCTGCGGCAGGACAAGAAAGGGAGATCATTCCTAGTCCAACACCTCCAGGTTAGGCAGAAGCTGCAGGTTGGTCCAGTTGAAAAAAAGTGATGTGATTGCTCCTAACACACAAGATCTTTACAGTCTTAGGCAGGTTTTCAAGAATCTGTGAAGGGAGGCCCGTCAAGTGATTACTGGAGATATCTAACTTGATTAAATTGGTCAGATTCTGGAAAAACCTCAGGTAGATGTCTTCATGCCCTCACATCATCTCTAATTGGTTTCTGTTGAACATCAGAACCTTTAAGGAGGTGCTGCTGATAAACCAAATTACAAATAGAATCAGAGCTATGAGCCAAACTAAGGTACTGCAGAGATTTGAAGTGTGTTATGAAATTCTGGTTGTGACCAATACCCTGCATCAAGAAGTGGTAACCATTGTAACTGAGATCCAAGGCCTCCAGGAGGGGGAGCTCAGTAAAGGCAGTTTCAAAGTACAAATTGATTTTATTGTAGGAAAGATCCAGCATGCGTCGGTTGTTCAAGTGGGTGAACTGCAAGCCATTTATAGATTGACTTATGCTATTTTGTGATAGGTTAAGGCACTTAATGCGAATCAAGTTCTTAAACAACACTGCTTTCACAGCCACAAGATTGTTTCCTGCTAAATTGAGAATCTTGCTGTAATTCTGGTAACTGGGTTTAAAATTTTCCGGACTGGTGGAGTTCAACTTTGCATTTGCTGCTGCCTCTTCAAAGTCACTTTCTATGTCTATTGACACAAGCAGTTGCCTGCTTAAGCCCAGGAGATGTGGTTCCCCACATGTCCTGAACTCATTCCTATTGTTCAGTTCTGTGATACTATTCTTTTGACAGATCAATGTAGTTTAATCTAGGGAAGTGGCTAAAAATTGACATCTCAACATGGCTGATAAAGTTCAAGCTCAGGTGTAACTTAGTGAAATTCGTTAGCCCCATTAAAGGTTGCATGTCCTCTTCAGTGAGCAAAATCGGAAGAAAAACCCATTGATCTCCAGCTCTTGCAATGACTCCAAGTACTGGAAAGATTGGGTCAGGTTGAGCATTGTAAAGGTGTACTTCTTTTGGTAATTAAAAGATAAAAGCTTTTGGAGCCTGGTGAGCCATTTGAATGCTGCGCTGGTTGTGATGGTGTTGTAGAGATAGTTATTAGTCAGGTTAAGCATCTTTAAGTTCCTCAAAGACTGAAATAACTGAGAATCTAGTTCATGCAAGGAATTGTCCAACAGCACCAACTCCTCCAGTGACCTCAGGGGAAGAAAGGAATCAGGGTCTATTTGGAAGGAACCATTGGACTCTGCACACAGGTTCAGCACGTGGTCACATCTGCTGCAGTTCCCCTTCACATCCAATGTCCGGAGATTGGGGAGGTTTCCAAAAATCACCTTTTGAGATGTGAGTAATCCGGTTAAAGGAGAGAAAGATTTTTCAAGCCAGCTGGAAGGTTCTGTGGCACACTGGTCAGGTTGTTATAGTTGAGAGAGAGCAGGGTCAGGTTATCCCAGGTGGGACAGGACTCCTTCAGGAACAGCCACCCATGTGCCACAGGGATTTTTGTAATAGCAGTTCATCCATGCTGAGCATTCTCAGGCCGAGCAGATTAGTAAACACGTTGGGTTCCAGCCTCAGAATACTGTTGCGTAACAAGTTCAGGTACTGCAGGGTTGGGGGTAGAAGTGGAATGGATGGTAAACTGTGTTCAGACAGATCCAGCTGTTTCAGACGCTGCAATCCAATGAAGGCTCCCAGCTGGATGGTTATACGACATGGGACAGATGAGATGCTCAGCCCTGGAGGTAGACAGTCCACTCTCAGATTCAGTTTGACCAGGTTGGGGAGATGAGAGAAGGAATCATTATGCACATTTTTAATCTGGTTGTCCATTAGCAGCAGGATAATGATGTTAGCCACACAAGAAGAGGCAAAGGATGGGACGCCCTCCAGCTTGTGCTTTCTGCAGTCTCTCTTATTTGGGCCTGTAGCGAAGTGACAACTCACCGATGCAGCACCTCCTGCTGGTCGTCTTGGGAATTAGCTCAACTCCAGCTCCAGAGCGCCCTCTGCTGGTCAATGTCTCGCCTGCCTCAGGCCCCATGTCCCTCCTAGACCCCGGTGCCCTTTTACCTCAGGGTTCTGCCCCAGCAGTACCCCCCCACTCTGGGTCTCCCCTCCCAGGGGAACCCCCAACCCTCTAAGCCCACCTTGCCTCAGTGGCCACTGCCAGTCGTCATCTAGCCCCCTCTCACTGGGGCAAACTGCAGTCTGTACTGGCCACTCATCATTGGCAAGGGGGTTGGACCAGCTGCCTCTGCCTAACCCTGGGCTGCACCTCTGCAGCCCCAGTACCCACATAGGCCTTTATCAAGGCCTCAGCCTGGGGAGTTGCCAGGCTGGAGCTCCCCAGGTCCTCTTGCCCTTCCCCAGCACTGCTCTGCTCTGCTCCAGGTACCCTATTCCCCAGCAACTAGGTCCTTCCCACTCCAGGACTAGAGTGAGATTCCTCAGCGCCTGGCTCACAGCCCCTTTATAGGGCCAGTTGTGGCCTGATTGGGCTGGCCACACCTGTGGTCAGCTACTCCCTCAGCTGCTCTCACTCCTTTGATCCCAGCCACAGCCCTCTCCAGGGCTGTTTTTAACCCCTGTTCTGCGGGAGTGGGACAGCCACCCCACTACAGGGCCGTTGTAGCTTCAAGGCAAGAATTCTGGGAAGCCACATCTAGCAACATCACCGGGTCACTGTTCCAGAATAAGTGTTCACACAGAGCTAAATCAGGAACAACTCCATGTGTAGACAAGTCCTTAGATTTGTTAATGCAGAACTGTCTATTATGGAAAGTTTACAGCTTCCTCTGCAGTGACTGGTACTGGTTACCCTGGTTATCCATCAGTGGAGGAGATGAAGCAATGATCAGATCAACAGTCCTATATTCCTCTTTCTCGGTTGTAGGAACATAGGCAATACCATTATTGTCTTGAGATGCAGAAAATCTATCCAGCAGACAGCCTTTCCAGCACTGGGTGCTCCGGAGAGCTCCTACACACAGGCAAGTGAGAGCAGGTACCAGCAGGCAGATGGTTCCCACACTGGACTGCTGGCTCTCATCAATGGGGCTCTCTCTCATGAGACATAGCAAAAATAAAATCTACATCCATTCAAGAGGCTGCATATTACCCCTCTTCAGTTCAAATTAATCACAGCTTTATTTGACGTGGTTCATCACCGCTACCCATGCATGGATGTTGCACTTCTCCCCACGCACCTCCTGTGCTGTTCAATGCAAATTACTCCCCCCTCACCCACAAACTGCTGGTCACACTTCTCCTTCCACATCCTTTTTCTTGGTATGGTTTGTAATGCTTGGGGGAAGGGGCTTAACCCTTTGGTGAATGCTGGAAGGCACAGCAGCAGTTTTCAAACAAAGTGATTCATTTGACTGACATGCCACAAGAAAGTGCCTGGGTAGATTAGGCCACACTGGAAGTCAGCAGGGGTACATTTCTGGCCACATAAGAGCCCCCTTTCCCTGTAAGAGATTTCCTGCCTTGAGGATGGGTGCATTCCACTGAACAACATGGAGTTTCAGTACGAGGGGGGGCCTTTAAATGGACAGGACTGCACCTGGTATATCATTCACACTTGAGATTAAATCCCAGAGACTGTAACCCTCTTTACTCCCAGACAAGGTGCAAGGAGAATGGCCATACACCCCTCAGCACACAGTTACAGTTTCAAAGTTTCCCTAAAGCTAACAAGTACCTTTATCCAATGCCCACTCTCTCTTTCCAAATGCATCATCCAGGGCCTTTCCCAGACCTGCCTGGGTACATCCAGGTGTTCTTGTTTCTGAGATATGCCAGCTATATTCTACTACCCTGAAGGATCTCATTTTCCAGGTGTACCTGGCCTCTCTAGATGTAAGGGAAGAGTGCCTTTCTAGGATGAACCTTGTTCATCATGAGCGGGATCAGCCTGTTCTATTAATGCAAGGTCAGGAATAGGATGAACTATCTCGTTGTCAAACAGTCATGATGAGCCCATGTTAATAAATGAGCCCTCCAGGATGGAAATGCATGTCTGGGCTGGTAAATGTTGTCCCGTGGGCCTGTGATCTAGCCCAGCTGCAGCAGCCCCACCCTGCCTGTTCCCAAGGGGATGGACAGGGCCCTGTGGTTATCTGTCTCTGTTCCTCTTTTAGAACTCTGCTCTTAAGTAAATACACCCATAAAAGGACTGTTCTAAGCTGCTTGAAATTTTTGTATGCGAACATCACGATGAGCTGAGCACATCAATGGATCCATCCAGGTTCTGTTCAGACAGGTGTGCTGCAATAAACAGTCAGTCCACAAGCAGCCCGCTAGGCACCATGACAGCACATGCAATCCCTCTCTTCCATGATGTGAAGAGACAGGAGTAATTCTAAATACAATCTCATCTTAAAATGTAACAGAACACAGCCAAAACCATGAATAGACCATTGTACTGTCTGCTGTGCTTGTGTCAGCAGGTGGCACCATAGAGCTGTTTTCCATGAAAACCAGCTGTTCTGTCTGCTTGAGAATTTCAAAGCTCTCTACCCAGGTGTAGGGCTGCCAACATTGTATTTCGAAATCATTATTGAGAATAATAAGCAGCACTCACTTACATTCGCCAAAGGTATTTCTTGCTGCTTTTTGAAGCCCTCAGCAACTCCCAATCTTGTTGTACAGAGATGAAAAAAAATAAGAGATGTCCCTTGTAATAAGGGACTGTGGGCAACCCAACCAGTGTGATAAATCAGACACCCAACAACCAGGTAGATAGAGGCTGTGGCCATTTTACAGATGTGGAAATGGAGCCATGGAGAGATTAGAGATCAAATTTTCAAAAGCAGGTTCTAATTTTAGGTGCCTCAAGTGTTGGGTGCCCAATGCATAGGTCCAGATTTTCAGAATTGGACAGGACATTGAAAGCCTTGAGACATGTTAACGTAGATGGCTGTATTTATATATTAAAATGTGAAAGTTCCTCTTTAAAGACTTGTGGACTCCTGACGGAAAAAAACTGTGAGAAACAAACAATTCTGCCAACTCAGTCTCGTTTTTCTTCCCTTTTTAATTTTTGTTCAACCTTTGCATGAAAACAGGATCCTTTCTTTTATGAGAGTTTCATCTGCTGCAGCTGCTTATTCCCCTTATAATGTCATGATCCTACACTTGTCACATCGTAATCACCATAGCAATTAACTATAGTATTAACTGTAGTAAATAGATTGTGGTAACTTCAGCTGGGAGTGGACATATGCATCTGAAGCAGGGAAACTTTTATTGATCCAAGTTCCTGGGCTCAATTCACACTGCCCTGACCCTTGTGCAGCCATTGACACCAGAACAACCGATCGGAATGGTAACACTTTTACACCCACTTTGCACTAGTAGGAGTGTCTATGCAATAGGCAGAGCAGTGCGGAATTACGTTCTCTTTTGCATGCAAGTCTTAACAGATAGTAAGTGAGAAATAAATACAGAGAAATATAGTTGTCCCTAAAAGGGATGTGTATAAAGGGGTGAGCTGCACTGACGTCAATGAAGGTATGCCCATTTACAGCAGATGAGGATCTGGCTTAATGCTTGTTGAGAAGTTCCATAAAGTCCTATTATCAGAGGGGTAGCCGTGTTAGTCTGAATCTGTAAAAAGTAACAGAGGGTCCTGTGGCACCTTTAAGACTAACTCATTCACCTGCACGTCCACCAATGTTATATATGCCATCATATGCCAGCAATGCCCCTCTGCTATGTACATTGGCCAAACTGGACAGTCACTACGCAAGAGGATAAATGGACAAAAGTCAGATATCAGGAATGGCAATATACAAAAACCTGTAGGAGAACACTTCAACCTCCCTGGCCACACAATAGCAGATGTTAAGGTAGCCATCTTACAGCAAAAAAACTTCAGGACCAGACTCCAAAGAGAAACTGCTGAGCTCCAGTTCATTTGCAAATTTGACACCACCAGATCAGGATTAAACAAAGACTGTGAATGGCTATCCAACTACAGAAGCAGTTTCTCCTCCCTTGGTGTTCACACCTCAACTGCTAGCAGAGCACCTCACCCTCCCTGATTGAACTAACCTCGTTATCTCCATACTGATTTATACCTGCCTCTGGAGATTTCCATTACTTGCATCTGAAGAAGTGAGGTTCTTACCCACGAAAGCTTATGCTCCCAATACTTCTGTTAAAGGTGGTCTTAAAGGTGCCACAGGACCCTCTGTTACTTTTTATAAAGTCCTATTGACTCTTTAAATCAGGGGTGTTGTTCCCAAGCCAGCTCTTTGGAGCAGGGACTGGGACCGTCTTTTTGTTCTGCTTTGGTACAGCGCCTGGCACAATGGGATCCTGGCCCATATCTGGGGTTCCCAGGTACAATGGTAACACAACAATAAGCGGTCTGGAGAAGGAGGGGCGGTAAGGATACTTTGAAGTGAGGGTGGTGGACAATGATATCATTAGGAAATCCTTAGAGACAGGAGTGGTAAGAACATTAAGTGAATGTTATATCCAAACCCCGCCAAAATTAGATTCCACCTTTCAAATGATGTGTAGATAGGGCAGTTCCCAACCTTAAAACTACAGGGCTTTGGCTGTGAGTGCTCAAGCGATCAGCTGCTGATTAAAATCAGCGTTCCTTTGTTTTCTGGACCCAGTGATGTGCCTTGAGGATGGCTAAAATGTCTTTTAATTTAATTCACTTGGCACCTTTTCTCCTTGCTAATCTCAGCATTTTACAAACATTAATTACTCCTCCCAACAGCCTTTTGAAGTATTACTCCCCATTCACAGATGGGGAAATCAAGGCAGGAGTTCAATGACTTGCTGAAGGTCAGGGAGTTAAGCCTGGCCTA